AGGCGGATGAGGAGGAGGAGGCAGCCAGAGTCTGCGAGACGAGCTCTGGCCGCGGCTGCCGCCGCGCTCTGGCCGAGAGGAGCGCTCGGCCGTGCGCAACTGGCCGGCCTATCTGCTCACCCTGCTGAAGAAGGCGGGCGGCGGGCCGTCGGACGTGTCAGCGCGATGGAGGAGGGGCAATTTTAGTCGTTCGGTGGCAACTCATGGGAGCCTCCCATCCCATCTTGTTGGCTCTTGTGAGTCGACGCTAGTCGACGCTACATCGGCGCTTATTGACGCTGAATCGACGCTAATCGATGCTAGCCGACGCCAAATCGCCATCTCATCGACCCCTAGACGCTACCCGATGCTAATCGACGCTGCAGACGGAATCATGGGGATTCAACCAGGCAACGCGCAGATGGGGTCTGGGGGGGACGGGGGCAGGCTTCCGAGAAGCACCCCTGCTCCTTGGCAGGCGCGGGCCTTGTCCGTAGATGTAGGGTCGGCGCCTTCTAAGAAGCAGCCTCCTTCCAAGAAGCCTTCCACCCTCCCCCTGCCCACCTGTGCGCGCCGCCACGAGGGGCATTGTCAGGGGGGGCTCCGTCTGACCCAGATCAGGAGCAACCCAGATCAGGCTCGAGGCCTCGGAGGTCTCCGGGCGCTTTCGCCGCTTCTCGGCGGATCCCTCGACGTGGGTCGATGCTTTCCCTGGCACCAAGGGGGCGAGTGTACCCCCGGTCCACTAGGGAAGGAGCCACAAGGAGACAACCTTCAGGAGGGAAAAAACACACAGACATAATCCATCGTCGACTCCCAGGAAGGTATGGGAAAATATGGGAAGTGGGGGGGAAGACAGAAACCCAGAAAGTATGGGAAAATAGGGGGAGTCCTTTTATATTTGTGTGTCTTTATCTGTGTGTCCCAGGGCCCCTTCAGTAACCTGGTAATCCCCCCCCCTTAACTTCCGTGCTGTCCGCTGCCTCGGGAAGCGGGAACCGAGGTAGCAACGGCCACGCACGGGCCGACCACGGCCCCGTGGCTGCGTCCACGCGCGCGCCGCCTCGCGGCGCGGGACGGCGGGAGGGCACAGTGGGGAGCCCATGCTCTGGACGCCCGAAATGGGTATTGAAAGAATGGGTACTATGCCCAACAGCAGTTCCTGTTCATTTTGAACAAGATTCGCTGTCCACGCCGCCGCGGCCTGTGTCCATTCGAGACAGGAGGCCGCCTGCCCAACAGCGGCCGCTGTTGGTTTGGGACAGCATTTGCTGTTGGGCATCGTACCCATTTTTTCGGTACCCATTTCGGGCGTCCAAACATGCCAAGAAACACCCCGCTTGCCCCCAGGGTGCCCTTCGGTTTCTCGGGGTTCGGTGGTTCTGCGATGGGCAGCCTGACGTCCCCGCACCAGGATCGAGGGACGTCCTGGGGTCTCGGGGTTGGGCTTCTTGTGGAAGGCTTCTCGTGGTCGGTCCCCCACTGTAATTGCACGCTTTGCCGTCGCCGTCCGGCTTGCGACGCGCCGCGCCCTGTGCGGCGCCCTGTGCGGCACTGGCGCGCAGGCAGCATCGACGCGGACCTGCAACGCCGAGCGCGAGGCTTGATCGCCCGCGCGGGGCCAGCGGGCCTGCTCGCGGCGTGCAGCATGCGCGACGACACGCGAAGGGCCTCGTCTGCCGCCAGCACGCGCGCGGCGCGTGTCCCGCGGGCCCACCAGGCTGACCGGCCTTAGGGGAACGAACAATGACATAAACATAAAAACTCGGAGGCCCGCGCGGATTTTTCGGATCGGCGCTGGGGCCCCCTGGCGGCGCCTCTGGCGCCGCCCCTGGCGCGCTCCGCGCGCCCGGGAGAGGGTCCAGGGCCGATCCGAGAAATCCGCGCGGACCCCCGAGTTTTTATGTTTATGCCAATTTTTGTTCCTGATTGGCCTGCCGGGTGATCGGCGTCACCCACACATACATCGACTATGTGTGCGTCGCCCCCCCCCCCCTAGAGGGGCGACGCGCGCACCGAGACATCGTATGGTGTATGCGTCTTGGCCGGCGCTTTCTGACCACACCGCTCGGGAAACGATCTACGACAAGATGGGTATACCACAGGTTCGGGTCGGACGCGCGCCTCCAAGGAGGACGTATGGTATTAGCATGTCTCTCTGCGTCCCAGGTGTGAAGGGGGCGGGATGGGGGGGGGGTGGGAGGCAAAGCGGGGGCGGGGTGTTCGCGTGCTTTGCGCCGCCGTCCGGCCTGCGACGCGCCGTGCCCTGTGCGGGCGGCGCCCTGCCGCGGAGCGGCAGGCCGGCGAGGGCCCCGCCAGGCGCAAGCTGCCCTGCGGCGCACTGCGCCCAGTGCGGCGCCCTGCCCCCGGACGGCAGGCACCCGGCCGCGCGGGGACGTGACCCCCCGAGCCCTGGCCCGGCGGCGCAGTCGGCGCCGGCGAAGCCCGGCGGAGGCCGCCGGCGGACCCCTGCCAGCACCCTGCTGGGCACTGGCGGCGCTGCTCGTTTCCCTGCTGTGCGAAACGCCTGCGTCCCTGGATCGCCCATTCTCCGGAGAGCTTCGCCTTCCTCCTAACAGGGTCCATCTCCCGACGTGGGGCCACGCTTTTCCCTGGCATCGAGGAGCTGAATGTACCCCCGGGGCCACGAGGGAAGGAATCGCCAGGAGACGACCTGGTGAACACCCCTCGGAGCAGGCCCCTTTGAGGCGGTTTTCCGAGCAGCGGTGCGTATCGGGCACAGGCGGTCCTATTCTTTCTGGCCGGACACCGTGCGCGTCCGCGGGTGCCGCTTTCCTTCGCGAGCGTTTGCTCGGCCGGTCCGTCTCTTGCTTTGCAGAAGCGGCGGCCGAGCTCTCAACAAAGCGCTGCATTAGTGTATCTTGGGGCGTATCGGCGTACGTTTGACGAATGGCGTTTTCCGAATTCTCCCCCCCCTTGCCGTTGGACCACGTGCGGGGGTGGCCTTGCTATGTGCGTGAACCACTCCGTTCCGCCTCTACGAAGCGAATGCGTGCCAGCAGCCGGGTCCGTAAAATGAGACGACGCTGCCTGGCGCCACGAGTCCGCACTCACAGGCGGAAGTTTTGGACCTGTGGTGTCGCAGAAGAGGAAAGGCATGTCAGCTGCGTTTGCGGCCTTCCAATCCGTCCACTCCTGGAGGAACTTCGTTTGGGAACACCCAGCCGTGAGTTTGGGCGGAATGAGTCACCGTTGGCTTTTGCCACATGGCTTGTTTCCTGGCGAAAGAGCTCACGAAAGAGACGTGAAAGTGCACGTCGTGTGCATGAATGCTGATCGCCTACGAAACGCGGCGCAAGGCAAAGAAATACAATACGGGACAAAAGCCCCAACCATAATAGTTTTAGGGTTACTGGGCTATTCTATAGGCTTACGCCACATCCGCCGACCCCTACTCCAGGACTGCATTTTACGAGGCTTGTCCGAATCATGACACGGCGCTCGACATCGTTCCTGTTGTTTCGTTGCTGTTATCGTACCTCTTGGTGCTTTTGTGTGGCCTTTTGGTGGCATCTAGGCCTGTCTGCAGGCCATATCCGGCCGCCTCGAGGCATCTTGGGCCAAGTTTTGGGGCCTGTTGGGGGCTTTTTGGGGGCTTTTTGGAGGCCTTTAGATTCTGTTGGGGGTCCCATCAGGGCCTGTTGGGGTGTTCTTGGGGCAGACTGGGGGCTTCTTGGGGCCGAAGGCTCGAAAAGGCGCCCTCTGGACTCCGTCTTGGAGCCGTCTGGGGGCCCTCTTGGGCTGTCTTGGGGGCTTCGTGGGCTGTTGTTGGACCGTCGTCGACCCTTCTTGGGGGCCCCTTTGGCCGTCTGGAGGCGATATTGAAGGTTTCTTCGCCCGTCTGGGACGTTGTGAAAACCGAATAGGCGAGCATTCGAGAGTGCTTGTGTTTCGAAGGGAATGGGACGATTTTGTTTCTTGGGACCCTCTTGGGGCGCATCTTGGGGGCCTTTTGGGGCGTCTTTCCTCAGAACCTTTCTGGGTTATGGGCGAGGGGGTTGTGGTAGAGTAGGGTTTGAGGCCCAGCTCACACTGGATTTTAGTTAATTATCCTGCGGTTGATCCACGTTCTGAGTGCGATTTGCAACCTGCCATGCGCAGTAAAGTGAATACAAAGACCTTGTCCTGGTTACTCAATGTTTCTATGTTGCCTTCCCCACTTATTACGTGTCTCTTCGTCCTCCTCCTCCTCCTCTTCCCCCTCTCCCCTCCTCCCGTAAACGACGCAACGCCTATGTGGCACAACGCCTATGTGGCATTCTTGCGTCTTGCCGCCCTGCCTCCCTCCCACCTTCGCCTCATCCTCTTCCTCCCTTCTCCCCCTCCTCCTACTGCTCTTCACCAAATGCATTCCCTCATGGGCCACACCTTCCTCTGCGTCCCACCCTCTCTTGTTATCCATCCCGGTCTTCTGCGATTGCCATCCATATCGGTCACCCTCCTCCGCGTTTGGCCTCGAGCAAAGCTATCGCCCGCAGCGAAAGCCAGCGCAGTGTGGCAACTGCCTCCTGCAGGATGGAAAATCAGCTCCAGCAGATGCTGCGCGTTCAGAAATTGCAAGCCATGCAACAAATGCAACACATCATGCAACAGGCACAAGCTAAGGCTGCAGCCCCGACGCCAGATGCCGCGGACAACAACAAGAAAGACAACATGTCGACATCATCTGTTCCAATCATGAAGCTGCCCCGTGTCCGCCTGGCAGAAGCAGTGGAACGCGTCACCTCGCTTGATGGTGGTACCACGACAGACGTGAACCAAGAACGCCTCGCTGTCATCTTGTGGTGTTTCACCCGGGTGAAACCCAACGTGCATTGTACCGAGCTGAGGTGCAACTACATACGACGACTTCTACGGTTGCCTGAAGAAAGCAGCTGAGCGACTGAAGGCGCACGATGAGACCGCGTACCAGCGCACCCTGCACGCGTTCCAAAACGCCTCCACCATCTCCAACATTCTCGTGATGGAGGAAGCCATCAAGCTCGGGTTCGACCTCGCGTACATGGAAAAACAGAAAGAGAGGTAAACGCGAATTGGATGAGACCAAGCAGACGTTGGCCGAACTGTTCAAGAAAAAGAAGAGTGACGACAAGCAGGTTCAACAGCAACGTCAGCAAAAGCAAACGCCCTTGT